ATCATCTCAATTGATGCCAGAAAGCATTTGACAAAATTTTACACCATATCATGACAAAAACATTCAGTAAACTAGGAATAGAAAGAAATTTTCTCAATATGATAAAGTCCATATACGAAAAACCCACAGTGAACATCACACTCAATGGTGAAAGACTAAAAGCTTTTCCCCTAAGATCAGGAACAAGACAAGGATACCCACTTTCACCACTTCTATTCAAAAAGTACTGAAATTTCTAGCCAGAGCAATTAGGCAAGAAAAAGAAATAAAAGGCATCCAAATTAGAAAGGAACAAGTAAAATTATCTTTGTTTATAGAAAACCCTAAATATTCCACAAAAAAACCTGTTAGAGACAATAAACGAATTCAGCAAAGTTGTGCTGGGAAGACTGGATATCCACATGTAAAAGAATGAAGTTGGACCCTCACCTTACACAATATATAAAAATTAACTCAAAATGGATCAAAGACCTCAATGTAAGAGCTAAAACTTAAAACTTAGACAAGAAAATATAGCATATCTTCATGATGTTGGATTTGGCAGTGATTTCTTGGATATAACCCCAAAAGCACAAGCACAAAAGAAAAAAATTGGTAAATTGGACTTCATCAAAATTAATAACTTTTGTGCTGCAAAGGACACTATCAATGGAGTGAAAAATAACCCGCAGAATGGGAGAAAATATTTGCAAATCATATATCTGATAAGGGATTAATATCCAGTATATATAATATCCTACAACTCAACAACAAAAAAAACCCAATTTAAAAATGGACAAAGAGGGGCCGGCCCCTTGGCTTAGCGGTTAAGTGCGCGCGCTTCGCTGCTGGCGGCCCGGGTTCGGATCCCGGGTGTGCACCGACGCACCGCTTCTCCGGCCATGCTGAGGCCACGTCCCACATACAGCAACTAGAAGGTTGTGCAACTATGACATACAACTATCTACTGGGGCTTTGGGGAGAAAAAGGAGGAGGATTGGCAATAGATGTTAGCTCAGAGCCAGTCTTCCTCAGCAAAAAGAGGAGGATTAGCATGGATATTAGCTCAGGGCTGATCTTCCTCACAAAAAAAAAAAAATGGACAAAGAAATTGAATAGATATTTCTCAGAAAAGATACACAAATGGCCAATAAGCACATGAAAAGATACTCAACATCACTAGTCATTGGGGAAATGTAAATCAAAACCACAATAAGATACCACTTCATATCCATTATGATGGCTAAAAGTAAACAAACAACAAACAAAAAACAACAACACAGAAAATGTGTTGGTGAGGATGTGAAGAAATTGGAAACTTAAGCATTGCTGGTGGGAATTTAAAATGGTTCAGCTACTGTGGAAAGCAATACGGCAATTCCTCAGGAAGTTAAATATAAAAAAAAAGTTAAACATAGAATTACCATATGATCCAGCAATTCTACTTCGAGGTATATACTCAAAAGAAAGCAGGGACTCAGATACTTGTACACCCATGTTCATATCCCCAAATCTGTGAATATCTTACCTTACATGGTAAAAGGGATTTGCAGATGCAATTAACATTAAGGACCTTGAATGGGGATGTTATCCTGGATTATCTGGGTGAGGCCAATCTAATCACATGAATCCTTAAAAGTGGAGAATTTTTTTTGGCTGTAGTCAGAGGCAGATGTGACTATAGAAGAAGTGTCAGAGAGATGCAACATTACTGACTTTGAGGATGGAGGAAGAGAGGCCACAAGCCAAGGAATGCAGGTGACCTCTAGAAACTAGAAAAAGCAAGGAAACAGATTTTCCTCTATGCCTCCAGAAGGAATGGGCCTTTCTGACACCCTGATTTTAGCCCTCTAAGTCTCATTTCGGACTTCTAGAAGGCACACAATTCAGTAAAAAATGCAAAATGAAGAATGACGTACATAGTCTGATCCTATTTGAGTAGCAGCAGAAAGCTCATGCTATATTCATAGCTGTGTATCTACATATGGGGGCCCGATGGTTGACAGATGTCTTAAGGTGGTCGCTGCCCCAGCAAGGATTCCTCTTCTCTGTAACTACCCATCTCCATTGGGTGCCCACAGGTCTCTGAGAGGTGTGACACATGAAACCACCCCCTTGACCAACTGTAGAGATATTCACCATTATCCCATCCAAGGCCATAACTGTTGAGTTAGGAATAGCAGGTGACCCAGTGCCAGCCAGTGAGATTCAGGAAAGATTTGCTGGGACCTCAGGAAAAGAGGCCTCCTCATTATTCTCAAGAAGCTTCCAATAGCAACCCTCTCCCATCCCCCTAAGAGTGAACAGAAACAGGTAGGCTCACTGGGCTGGTGCAGACCTGCCTGCAAGTCCACAGGAGCCAGCTTCTGACATCACTGATCCTGAGGATGGCAGAGCACAGAGAAAGAGTGAAATAGAGACCCAGGGTTACCCACTGAAGCCACCTGACCTCTGCACTCTTGAGGGACAGCCATCCACCAGTCTTCTTTACACTCAGAACAGCTTGACATCAGTGTTCTGTTCCTTGCCACACAGCTTCTCCTGATTGGCACAGGCATTCATTCAACTTCCCCTTTCAGAGTCTTTGTAGGAGCATCCCAGTCCCCACATCTACATCCAGGCCCAGTCAGGGGACCAAGCCTTCTGCCCCCTACCCCAGGGAGGCCAGCAAAGGTACATGATGGAGACACCTCTCATTGAGGCTCTTTTAAAAACTGAAACTCTCATTTTTATGAGGGGGAGGAGAGGAGGGGAGGGGAGGAAGAAAAGGCAGGGGAAGGAGGGAAGGGAAGGGAGGAGTGGGGAAGGGAGGGGAGAGAAAGAGGGAAGGGGAGAAGGGAGAGGAGGGAGGCAAGGAGAAAGGGAGTGGAGGGAGGGAAAGAAGGAAGAAACTGAGTTATATATAGGCAGGAAGATACAAAATGCATCCTTTGCGGAAGATATAATTGCCTGCTCAAACTAACCCAAGTGAACCAACTGAAAAATTAATAAAACTATAAGAGAATAAACTAAGAGGGCTAGGGAAAAGATCAATATACAAAATCAATAACATTCAGTTCCACAGCAATAATAAATTAGAAAATATAATAGAAAAAAGATATTCCATTAATGATAGCCAAACACATTTTTAAAAATATCTAGGAATTGGTACAAGGCCTTGTACCATCTGCCGGGTTCCTCCAATCCTTCTTTATCACTCTGCTCCTCCCTCACAGGACTCCAGCCCCGCTGGCCTCCTTGAGGAGACTCTCTAGCTCCTGCCTCCCAGCCTTTGCACTGGCTGTGCCCTCTGACCCAAGATACCCACACAGCTCATTTCCTCTCCTCCTGGGTCTATACCAGGGTCAGCAAACTTTTTCTGTAAAGGGCCAGATAGTAAATATCTTAGGCTTTGTGGGCCAAGAGACAAAAATCGAAAATATTATGCAGGTACTTATATAATAAGAGAGAAAACAAATCTACAAAATGTTTGTTGATGAAATTCAAAATATAATAGGTAGAACTGAGTACTGTTTTTTGGTTTTGGTTTTGGGTTTTGGTAGTACAGGTCTACCAAGGAGAAGAATGGAATTCTTTCAGGGAGATAACATGGAAGTTAGTGTTCCCTAACATGAAATTGATCGCAAATGCTCTTCTGTAAAAACCATTCTTGGCTAAGAGCTGGTGGGCCAGATTTGGTCTACCCTCAAACGTCACCTCCTCAGTGAGACTCTCCCAGACACTCTCTCAAAAATCATGCCCCCCCCCCCGCCCTCTCCATCCCTCTTATTCTATAACTTTCTCTGTAGTACTTCTCACAATCTGACGTGCTATATATTTTACTCATGTATATTTTAGCTGTCTTCCCTTTCCATACGTAAACCTTATGTGGGCAGGGTTTTCGTCTGTCTTGTCACTGCTGTATTCCCAGCACCTGGAACATGTCTGGCACATAGAGGGCACTCAGCAATCATCTGTTGAGTGAATAAGTGAATAGGAATGCAAGGAAGAGAGAATGTATTCATACCTGTAAGTGCTCAGAGCACTGTTGGTACACACTCTGCTCAGTAAGTGTTAGTCACTGTTGTTACTTTCAGGAGGGGCCCCAAGCATCCGGGAAGTGCAGGCCCCAGAACAAACAAAATCTTCCAGCCACCAGACGTGTCCACATCCTGCCTACCTGCCTGCTGCATCTCCTCTCCCTGTCTCCCTGCTCCCCCGTGGCTCCTGGTCTCTTCCCTCCACTTGATCCTACGTCCCCCTCTGGCTCTCTCAGTCCTTCCTCAGTTACAAATGGGACTTCAGGGCCAGCTCCCAGGACCCTTCGCCCCCCACAGTGCCTCAGGCAGAGTCCCCACTCACTACCAGAGATGCCTTGGCCCCAACTGCCTGGTTCCACTCTCCTCCATTCTTTCCCCGGACCCCAGCCCAGCCCACCCCTTCATTGCCTAAGGATTCTGGCCCCCTATGTCTCTGCCTGATTAACTGCACCTCTGCTGATGTGCTTCCTCCTCCGGAAAGCCTCTCCTGACACCCTCGCCAGCCTCTGGGTGTCCCCAGCCCCCTCTGCTGACTCTTCATTGAGCGCTGTCATATTGCCAGCACATCTCTGTTGCCCCTCTCTCCCCCCAGGCCCTTGTCCACCGCCCCAACCCTGCCCCAGGAAGTCCAGGGCCTGATCCCTGGCCCCTCAGCTCCCGAGAGCCCCTCCTCCTGCCTTCTGGAAAATACTTGTTCCCGGGGTCCATCTGCTCTCCCTCGCTGGTTCCCTCTCTAATCCCACAACAGCCCCATTCTACGGTGGAGGAAATGAGAGGTTGGAGGTTAAGCAGTTTGCCAGGATCACACAGCGAGGCAGGGGCAAAGCGGGACCCTGGGCAGGGCTGAGGAGGAGGGGCGTTGGCAGTACCTGCCCGGGGTACACAACACAGCAGACAGATAGATGGACAGATTTTTGAATGAGCCAGAGCTGGGCTCGACTAGAACCCAGAGACCCTGCTCTCTGCCCGGCTTCTCTGCAAGGCCAGGCGCCAAGGGCTCACCCAGGAGCGGCTCCCGCCCCCTGGCCCAAAGCCAGCCGTCATCTCCGTGAGGTCAGCCACGGGCCCGCGATTTCGGGGAAATACCAGCTCCTTATTAAAAACAGGCCGTGGTCAGGCCCCTGCTGCTTTCCCAGTAGAAACTAGGGTGTTTGTTCCAAGAGGAACGAGAGTGGGCGGGGCGGCAGGGCCACTGAGGCGGGCGGCTCGAGCTGCAGTACCTGGTGGAGGCGTCCCGGGAACCGGGGGCTGGGGGAGGGAGACCCCGAGGTTCGGGCAAGCGGAGCCTTGTGGGGGGAGACCGCCACACGGCGCCTGGAGGCTGAGCGCAGCAGGGAGGGGTCGTGGACTGGGACCTGGAGCCCACGCGGGGGCAACAGGGCTGCCTTCACAGCCGTCCCCTCCCGGCACAGAACTCAGGCAATGGGCAGGGCCCAAGCACAAGCCGGCCGGCAATCTGAGGCCCTCCTGTTCCGGGGTAGGGGGCTCCCACCGCAGGTCCCCCGGCCCTGCGCTGCCTGTCCGCCCCCTCCGGGAGCCGCGCCACAGTCCCCTGCAGGGGGCGCCAGAGGGCCGTCCTCTGCTCAGACCGGCGGCCGGCGAGCCGGCATCTGGAGCGAGTTAGGCCCGGGAGGCCCGGCGGGCGGCGGCGTGAGCTCATCTCGGCCCGCCCCTGCGGTTTCCAGGCGCTGAGAAGGGACCAGGACACAGAAGCGCCGCGCCGCGCCGCGGGCCGGGCGGGGGAGCGCGGCAGGAGCAGTGACTCCTCCCGGGATGTGGGTGTGAGTGGGGAGGCGGCAATGTGTGTGTATCGCTGGCTCGTCGCCGAGTGAGGGCTGAGCCCTGGGAGCCGGCCGCCAGCGTGTGTCGCTGTGTGTCACCGTGTGCCGTGGCTTGTGAGGGTGCGTGTGATAAGTTGCACGCATCCCAGCACATACTCTGCATTTTACAGAGAAGAAGGCCAAGTGCCGAGGAGGGAGAGGGCCAGCCTGGTGGCACAAGGCTGGGACTCCGGGCTCTCTGCCCCTAAGCCTGTGTCCCTGTGTGTGTACAAAAGGTCCGAGCCAGCCCACTGTCCCACAGAGCCAGGGTCAGCGTTCTGGGCCCACCTCCCCTCCCACCATATACAAACACGTTCTTCCTGGTCACTGCCCACCCCCAACCTCCTTCACCCTGAAGGACCTTGGACTCATCCTTCAGGAGAGAAGGCGAGACCCCTTCACACCAGGGTCACGGCTAACAGTGACACACACAGCACATGGGGAGACACACACACCTGGATACAGGCTCACACATGGAGATACACACCAACACACACATAATGGACACTTGCTTATTAGCGGGACTCCTACCTGGGAGACTCAACAGCAGGTTGCAAGGTGGTGGCAAGGCTTGGAGAGGCCTCTTGGTGAGATGCCCCCATCCCTGCCAGGGGCACAGAGCAGGAGGGGCTGGAGGCCACTGAATCCTGTGTCTTAGGGGCTCCTGCTCCCTGCAGTGGGCCCTGGGGTTGCAGCCCAGGGTATGAACGGCCTCAGAGGCATCAGGACTTTCAGGGCCAGAAGCCAACATGGGAACATAGCCCTGTGGGCATCACCAGACATGGAGTGAAGAGCTGGGGATGGAGTGAGTGCCTCTGAGCATCCAAGGCTTCCCCCACCATCTGGCTGGTCCTCACCTTGGGCCCTCACCTCAGGGAGCTACAGTCCCAGCTTTGGGTAGCTGTAGCCCTAGCTGTGCTGGGGATCTCAGGAAGGTGTTTCTGGCCACACAGTGCCCACCAGCCCTCCTGGCTGGGCTCGCAGCATTGTCATGCCCCCCTCCTCCTCCCTTCACCCCACAGCTGGGCTGTGGTTCTGAGACAAGGGCCCCGCCTGCCAGATGGGGTCCATGAGTCTATCACCCTTCGTCACCGGCTATTGTTCCTGGGGCCAAAGCCCACATTTGCAGAGGGTTGGCAGTGCTGGGCTTGCTAGGAGCTGAGGCCTCCGAGTCCCCACCGTGCTCCCACCTGTGAGACCGAGAGGATTCCCTGCCCTGGCAAGTCCTCCACAGGGGGTGTAAACTCTAAAGGGACCGGCATCTACCATAGCCACAGGGGTCCTCAGCTCCCAGGACACTGGGGCAAGCTGGGTGAGGGATTTTTTTAAACTGGAATGACTCTGGTTTGCATAATCAGAGTTTCCAAATTACTTAGCAAAACATGTTTGCTTTTTAATTAACATGTGCTTGAAAAACAATGGTTTTAATTAAAGTGGGTGGGGGAGAGAAGGGACGGTGGGGGAGAATATTTCTAGGAACTCCAAGTTCCGGGCCAGACTTCTTAAAAATAAAGTGGGAGCTTTGCCCCAAGCCAGCAGAGGCTGGGAGGCAAGGATCCTTGGGGAGCCCCAGGAACACCCCTACCTGCCTCCATTCCTCTCCAGCTCCCTTGTTGAGACTTTGCCCTTTGGCTGACAGTTTAATTACTCACTTACCCACTATTCCCTGGGCCCCTCTGGGAAGTGTGGTCTTTTAGAAGGCAGTCTTGGGGGTAGATGAATGGGGGTCCACCAGGCAGAAAAGAGAGAGGGAACAGCATGAGTGAGGACCCGAGAGTGTGAGTCTTATTGGGGGAACATTAAGTTTACTGGGAGACAAGAAGAGGTGGGGGGAGGTGATCTGTAAAAAAAGTCAGATCCCGTAGATTGGTGGATTGGCAAGGTAGAGCTGGACCTGGAGCCATTGATGTCCAAGGCCCGGGGAGATGGGGGTGCTGAGGTGGGGCTGGGAACATAGGGGTGGCAGGGTGGGTGATGCCACATGGGGCAAAGAGATTGGCAGAGGAAGGGGAGGGTTACAGAGACTGGAAGTGGGACCTGGGGCTTAGGGGCTTGCTGGTCAGAAGAGGATGGGCAGGGCTGGCAGGTTTGATCAGTCCAGTAGGGGGCAATGTTGGCCCCATCATCCTATGCGCAGGAGGCCCCCACCGATCTGTGCTTGGTAAATGCTTAAGAAGGCTGAGAATGAGGAAGTGGTCCCTCCAAGTCAGCCAGACCTTCTCCCCTTTCTGACCTTTTGGGGCCAGCACTGAGGGGCAGCCCAGAGTCAGAGGTCAGCACTGAGGTGGGACAGCACCCCCACTCCCTCACCCATGCAGACAAAGAGAGACTGAGAGGAAGCCTCTGGGGAGTGAGGACACCCCTAGGGGTTGAGTCAGGTGACCGGGCACCCTCAGCTCCTGGTGGCCCCACCCAGGACCCTGTTTCTCATTAGGGGCCTTCTAGCCTCCCCCACCCCTCATGAAATGTGCCTCCCTGTACTTAATTCATTACACTGCGCCGGGGTGGGAGGCTGGGCGAGTGGGGGTTATTTTTTCCCCTGAGCTCAGGCATTCCTTGCTTTATTATTCTCCACATTTCAAAGCAGCTGTCGCCTCCCCCGACCACCCCCAGCCTGAAGCTCAGAGTCCAGAAGGGGCCTCCCCAGGGCTCAAAACACCAGAGGCTCCCACCTCTCCAGCCCAGCACAGAAGGGAAACAGGCCCAGAGAGAGAGCCCAGGATCACCCACAGGGACACCCCCAACAGTCTGTACCTGAACTTACCCCGCCTCAAGCTGGGATCCTCCTATGTGCCCCCCTGACCCTGCTGTCACCCTCTCATAACACTGCCTTCCTTGCCTCTATTCGCCCCTCTGGGCCACCTTCCCCCCAGGTGACCTCGGGGCCCCCCTCTACAATGCAGAGCCAGCCCCTGCCTCCCCCTCCAGGAGCAGGTGCTAGGACGGTTTTCAGAGTCCCTGCCCTGCTCAGGGCCCAAACAAACTGAGCTCCCACTGGGTCAGTGGCCTTCCAGAGGGCAAGGCCCATCCTGGAGCAAGAGATCAACCTAGAAAATAGCAGGGCTGGGGTCAGCCTAGTGGACAACCAAGGGGCCGGGTTCGGGGAGAAACAGTTCTAAGGACCCAGTTTCAGACTTTTGGAGAACTAGAGAAGCCCTGGACAGATTTTTGCCCTCCATCAGAGAGCTGCCTGCCCAGCAAAACTGCCTCAATGAGGGGTGAGCTCCCTGTTGCTGGGGGTGTTCAAGCAAGCAGCAGCTTGTCAGACTTGCCCTGGAAAAGATGTTGGCCCAGGTATCTGAGGCCCCTTCCTGGCCAACTTTGAGGTCAGAGTCTGGGGCTGGCAGGCCCAGTACCCACTCCAGATGAATGGAATTAAGGGTCCCTCCTCGCTCACTCAGGGACAGCTAGACAGGTCTGGAAGCACAGGCCAAGGCACAAGGACAAGAGACCTGGGAGCTGGGCCAAGGCCAGAGCAGAACCTGTCCAAGGCATTTTCTTTGTTGGTTCATTCAGTGTCCTGGCACCTGGCACCTGGCACCTGTGCTGGGAGCACAATAGATGTGTGATCGTCATGTACTGATGAGTTAAATGGGGTCTGACCTGGCCTGACTCAGAGGGTGAGGGGTGGAAGGCAGCCTGCAGGAGTCAGGGCCTCCACCTAGGGGAGAGCCTATGACCACAAGGGAAACCAAGGCAGGAGCCCAGGTGGGGTGGGCAACCTGGGGGTGCTAAGGACTGAGTTTGGAGGTCACTCTTGACACTCTGTGACCATCTTGTCCCTGCCGACCCTACAGCCAGGCATGTCCACCCAGGTATGGGGTTGATGGCTGGATCCTCAGGGGCCCAGGAGAGTGGGAGTCACGCTGTGATGTGGCCCTGGAGGTTCCTGCTGTCCACAGCAAGCTTGGGGACCCAGGGCCTGCCCACACCTCCAGCTCTACTCTCCAGACCTTCCCCAGAGACCCCCTTACTATAAGGAAGGCACCCTTTGGGGGATGGAATGCACAGAGCCTGGGCTCCTGAGAGAGGAAGCAGCCATTAGCTGGCCCAGAACTGTCTCCATCTAGAGCTGTGAGTTCTGGGTATGTCACCCCCTTGGAGACTCCCAGCCCAGGGCCCTTCCACTCAGGCCAGGCCATGCAGAGGGAACTCCTAAAGCTCCTGGGATGTGCCCAGCTTCCCCTCTCGTCCCTCAGCCCTGAGCTCTGTGTCTCTTCCCAGGCCGGAAACCATTGAACGTTTGCCTTCCCACCACATCCCACCCCCTGTGCTGCAGCTAGGGACGAGAGCTCACTGCCACTGGCTTCCCACCTCCTGCTGCAGCCTCCAGAAGTGGGGACAGGTATGGGCATCCAGTGGTTTGGGGACACTCGGAATCTCAGGATCCCAGTTACTCCAACAAAGGGAGTTGAGGCATCTTCACCCATGTGCCCCCGTCCCCCAGCACCAACCTCACCAGCTGTCCCAAGGGCTCATCTCACTGTCCCTGCATCCCGACTCTCTGCTCTCTGATGGAATGCCAAGTCTCCACTCCCCACTCCATCCCAATTGGCTGGGCCAGGCCTCTGTCAGTCATCACAGAGGGAGCAGTCAGTCCGTACCTGATGACTACACGATGGGGGAATGGATGAATGAATGAATGAGTTGATTCATATGAGCCTTGGGCCTGGAAAGGCTGTGCCCCATTCAAGAGTCTCTATGTGGGCCAGCCCCGTGGCTTAGCGGTTAAGTGTGCTCGCTCCACTACTGGCGGCCCGGGTTCGGAACCCCGGGCGCACACCAACGCACTGCTTCTCCGGCCATGCTGAGGCCGCGTCCCACATACAGCAACTAGAAG